CCCCCCCCCCCCCCCCCCACCCAAATAAAACTGCTTTTTAAAATTTCTTTTTTTCACTTTGAGGTTTTTTCGCTGCTTGATGTGGGAGTAAAATATCTGTCTGCAGACATTTTGCATGATGGTTGTTGTAGACAGTTTCTCGTAATCAACATTTTGCAGAATCTTGTCATTAATGTTGTTGGTCGTTGTTCTGAATATTGTTGTCACTTTTACTCTCCATTTACCAGCCTAAAAATGCCTTTGTTTCATCAGTCTGATAATTTTCAACAAATACTCATGTAGTTTTTATAACAGCAGCGCTAATTTTGAAAATGATGTAGTTCTAATGTTATTTCATAACCTCCTTTTAAAAGTTTTAACATTTCTCTCACTCTGTATTGTCCTGTTTATTATGCTAAAGAAAAACTGCTGTGTCAAAGATAGGTCTATCTCACTTTGTTCCATTTCTGATATAAATTCCTTTTCAAAAGATGATGTAGACAGTAATTGTTTTTCCTTGATGGAGGACATTGCCATTTTAGATCTTGTCCTTCTCTAATACAATTTAGTTTGTTTACAGGGATGCCTTTGGGATTTTGTGAAAATGCCTGAAAATTTTACGAAGTTGCCTTTGCAAAAAATAGAAAGTTGATAGACACATCTTATTTGGGGGTAAACTGAAAACAAATGCTAAGAATGATAACTTTTTTTCTAATAAAACTATAATGGGAAAAATGGATACTCGGCATCCCCGTTTTGAGTTTTTTTAGTTTTCTATTTCTCTGAAAGAATCACAAATTGATTGTTTAGAGGAGGGGATAAAATTGTTTCTTAGATAGGTATAGTTTCTGTCCCAGTTCTGTCTTTTTAAAGTTTTTATTGTGTTATTGAGCTTCATGTGCACATTTTAGATAGTGCGAGTATAGTAGTTTATTATTTCTAAATAATGTTCTTTTACTAGCGAATAGAACAATTTGTTTCATCCATCTTTTTTCTTGTGTTTTGCTTCTGGTAGATGCTTTTTGCTCTATCTTGTGCATTAAGAAACAGAGGGAGATAGGTGAATGTTTTACCTATATAGTTTTAGAAATCAAATTAAATTGCTGAACTATTAGAAGAATTAACTTTCAGGTATTGTAATACAATAAAAGTCTGTCCTACTGTTATCAGTGAAGATGTTGGTCATGATTTTTTTCTCCAGGAAAAACAAGTCTTTCAAGCCAAAACCAAGGCCTTCTTTGGTAAATATTTTTGTTTTCTTTTCTTCAAGCTGAGATATCTCTTTCTTAGAATGATAAGGTTGTAACTCCACTTTTTGCGAGAACTGAGAAGCTGAGAACTGATGTGTAACTACACTTTTTGCTGTGCACACTAGTGTCAAAGGCTCGAGACGATGTAACCAGTATTAATAATTTTTTTGTGGTCAGTTTGACTCTTAATGAACAAATAAGGTGTAAAACCATTTCAATCTGAAGAGTGAATCTTTGTTTCTCCTTTTCTCTAAACTGTGGGTCACGGAGTTAGAGCCCTGTCATTCTGAGGACAGCATATGTTGAGCATGATTTAAAAAAAAAAGAAGTCTACCTTTAAGTTTAAAAAAAAAGAAAGTAAAAAAGAAAGAAATATTTCGGGGAAAAAAAAAAAAAAATCTAGAAAGAGTTTCTTTGTTCCAAGTAAAATGCCAGAGGTGGTATTTGTTCTTGGTTCTGCCCATTTTGTGTGAATTTGTTAAGATGAGATAAACTTAATTGATCCACAAGGGAAATTTTGGGTGCATATACCGTGTATGGCACCATACAAACATTCGGCATCATCACAGAAACGGACTCTTTACATTTATGTTCGACGATACACATGCAACGATGCATAACACAGTCCCACATGCGAACTGAAAAAGTATGCTCAGTGTTGATTTCTTGATATGATAGTATCTTCAAATGATAGTAATTGTGCTATATGTCTGGTTGTGGCGTGGATAATGAATCTGATGAACAACAGGAAGCTCTGGGTTTTATAATAATGATCATAGTGATAATGATGATAATATTAATACTGAAAATAACTACAATATCCAGGCTCTACAGCATGCTCTGTGAGCTTTACAACTATTGTTACAACAACTGACCTTTTAAAACTCAAACATTTTCTCAGCATACCTTGTAAACAGTCAGGAGCAGATTGGTTCTTTAAACTTTAATATTTTTTGTAGCTTTACCATACTATCCCAATTTAATCAGTTACTTTGGTAAAAATTGAATCTCATTTTGCCTACTATCCAATTTTTGTCATATCCAAAATGTGTTTTTCATCTGTGTTCAGCAATTTAAAAGCTAGGAGTTTCTGAGAAATTTTTTGGGAAAAAAAAGAAGCAAATGGATCAGTCTGTCATCTTTTTCAATGGTTTTCAGAGTTTCCGTGATATTAAAGCCCTCAAGGCCATCGCCAGCCGCAGCATGCCTGGCAGCATTCGAGGGTCAGGCTCAGGCAGCAAGAAACAGCCGCCAACTGTAGGAGCCCAGTTCCAGGTGAGTGAAGATTTTTATTTTTGGCAGTGCCACTGACTGTAGGGTCTTTAGGCCATTCCCAAAGGGGGAACATACTTCGTTCAAGCATAGTAGAATTGTAAATGGGCTGACTCATGTCACGCTCATTAATGTGCATGATCTACAACAGGGAACTGCTCCTTTTTCTTTCCTGATCCTTACTATTGTCATTTTCCTCTACTTCTTTTGTATGTTTGTCACTCCCTTGTGACTTGCTATTTTGGGATGCCTTGATAGTCGAAGCAGACCTTGTGCTGTTGAAGCTAGAGAGGTGAGCAGTCTAAGTCTGATTCCCTGTAAAGACTTCTCTGTTGACACCCACCCCTTGGCGCTCATATGACCTTATGCAGTTGTGAGTGCCGTAAAACCCTCTACTATAAAACAAACAAAAAATCTCAACTTCTACTCAAGATAGATGGGTATTTTTCATGGAACGCAACTCAAATGGACAAACTTTAAGATGTTATCAATAACTCCACATGCTCAAAAATTGATGAGCACTTGATTCCATCACGCTGTGACCCATTTGTTTTTTAAAATTTTTTTTGGTAAGTGTTTTACGACGCTTGCAACTACATAAGGTCATATGAATGCTCGGGACACATTAAACACTTTCAGTTGGTAGGAAATTTTGAATTTTGCCTGGGGAAAACATGAACTCTTTGATGTTGTCACCAATTTGTTTCATTTTAACTCAACCAAAAACCAAACAAAACCAACGACCAATTCTTTTCACCTGTTGGCTTCATTTTAAAACGAAAAAAAAACAAAACAACAACCCAACAAACATGTAAGAACTCTGTGACATTTTTACCCACTTATTTCATTCTGATTCAACATGAAGATAAAAACCAACCAGCTTACAAGTACTATATTATGTCATATTATATGACATATTATGACTTTTTCACCCAAATGTGTCTGTCGTGTCATTGTGTCCAGTGGTCCCTGTCCAGACTGATGACGACGTTGAACCAAGCCAACCCCTATTTCATCAGATGTATCAAGTCAAACAGGGAGAAGGTATGATATGATAAGATAAGATACATCTTTATTGTCCAGATCCTAGCACATTGGTTTTGGTGTTTCACACACACGCACCCACACACACACACACACACACACACACACACACACACACACATACATACACACACACAC